ATCCGCCTATCTGCTTTTCAGCAAAATTTACAAATTACTTAATCAGCAGCTGCAAATGCGGCTACAATTGTTCTACATCCGATTGGATGTTGGCTTGTTGCTGTTGTTGTTAATGCATTATTTGCACCCATAGCTTTTTGTTGTTTTTACCAAGTGCTGTTGACTCCTGTTGACTAACCGCATCGTTTTTTTTTCTCTGTTTCTGTTTCTGTATTTGTATTTATTTTTGCCCTCCCTAGCCTAGCGCAAAAAACAACTGAAGGGAAGAGGGCGCGGGCGTGGGCGTGGGCGCGGCCGCATTGTGGTTAAGTCCATCACTTGCGCTAGTGGGCGTTTCATGGACATGCGCCATTGATTTATGTTCTGTGGTTTTTAGAATTTACCAATTTTAAACGCTTAACAGAGTAGTTAGCATGAGTATTTGTATGTGCATACATATTGGATTTGTGCAGCGCCTACTCCCCGCGGATTCTAAATGAATTTGTCGTTTCATGTTTCCAATTAGTCTAAGTAATTTATTTGCGTACACCAGGCAAATACGTACTTATGCACAAATATTCAGTACAAACACACAGCTGCGCGTGCAATGTACATCATACGTGCTTGTACATACTAATAATTATCAAATACACAAACACACGCCCGACGCTTTCAATTAATTAGGGATTTCGGTAATATTGCACTCATTCAGTTATTACCCCCAGAGAGTGAAAATCGATCGTATTTTTTGGTTATTTTCTAAAGCGATTTTACCGCAAATTTTATTTAAGCACATACTCCCTGCAGATATTGGGAGCCGCCCGCTTCAACCGACAAAATTATTGTTGGTGGTAAATAATGTTAGTGGGAAAAAATGCGAAAATTTTACAAATTATGGCTAAATTGAAACGCTTAATCACAGCAAGAATTTAATCGAGTTTTTTATTAATTAGAGCGCACTTTTCACATTTGATTTAATTAGTGAAATTTTATATTTATAAAATGTGCTGAATATTTATTTACCCCTTTGATTGCAGTCAGGTATTATTTGCTATTAAAGATTTTAAAACAATGCCTAATTATTTTATGAAAAATTATTAGTGAAATAATAATTGACGCACACACATTTTGGCAAGGGTTTGGCTGAACCATAGTATGCCTCTTTATAATAATATTTTAAGCTTGGAATGGCGGCAGATCTTCGTTAGCGACAATATAAATTGTCTGAGTTGGGAGGATCAGCTTTCAGGCAGTGATATCGCCGAGTGCTAGGATGCTTTCGGGTCAGTGGTGCATAATTACGGTGACCGACCGTCCTGTAATATACAGGACAGTCCTTTTTTTTGACTCATTGTCCTGGCAATTTATTAATTTTATACGGGATATATATGATCGTTATTTTCTCTATAAATAGTTATTATTTTCCAATCTAAATGCCTTTGAATTAGGACTTGACAATTTTTCCTTAGTTTATTTAATGTTTATTATTTATTTTATGAAAGTAAAGCTCTTTTCCTCAAAAAAAACTATATAATACCAAAATTTCAAACTTTGTGCAAAAAACTATAAAAATTAATTCTGAAATGTTTCACCAAAATTTCAAACTTTTCAATTAGAATTTTTAGAAAAATGTTTGGTTAGCAGTTTTGCAACTCATTAAAATTGAGTATAATAAAGTGCGAGTGGAAAGTGCTACCCATTCACTTTTGTTTCAAAAAAATGGTCGAACATATTTACTTTGTATGAAAAAAAATGCGTAACACCGTAAAAACAAAAATTCCAAAAATTAGTGATAAGCCCTAGCGACTTAAAATCTCGAGAAAATTATCTTACAAATTTGTGATGTTACTAAAAGGATACTGTTTCAGGGCTAATACATATAGGATCATTGAAGAAGGCTTTAAGATCTGTAAGATGTTGTGGAAAAAATTTGCAAAATAATTTTTTGTCCCTTACCTTGACTTCGTAGCGGGAAAAAAACTTATGGAACAAGCCAGAGCTGAGGTTTTATAGAGTAAGGCGAAGCTCCATCTCTGTCTCGGTCTTGCATCAAGGCTTCACACGAGCTGATCACCGTATCTCATAGACGATTTACTCAGGTTTCACTGAGAGTGCGAAAGGGGACGTATGAGTGGCAGAACGTCCTGCACCCGCCGTAACACAAATTTATGAAAAATTTTACCTTTCACATTGTCTAAATTTGATTGCCCTTGAGAGCTGGTGCTCATTTTAAATAAAAGACAAAAACTAAATCTCCTCCCAAAAAAAGTTTAACTTCTAATCAGTTCTTACGTTTAAATTAATAATTCGATTTTAATAACCATTGTACCGTGGAATAAATTACGTAAGTGTGTAGACAGAGAGTCTATATTTATCACATCGAAACAAAAAGGCTCTAAACATACTAACAAGGCTAATTAAAATCAAAGCTATTTAAATATGCTGCTTACGTCAGCATACTGTTATTGCTTGCGTAAACAAAAAAGTTAATTGCAGTCACAATGGTTTTGGTGTTCGTGAAAAATTTTAAATATTTGCGCTAAAAATATGATGGGAAGTACAGATACTTTATTAGAAATTTAAAAAAAAAGACAACAGACGCAAATTTCAAAGATATTCTTAGCTTTCTTGACAATATGCAAAAATCTAAAATAAATTGTTGTAATAAGAGAGCACAACAATAATTATTATTACAATTTTCTTCACTAAAGTTAACCAAAATGCATGAACTTTTGTTTTTAGATTTTTTTTTTTTGGAGACTTAATTTTGTCTCAAATTTCTATATTTAACCCACGCTCAGACCAAATGCATACATCACTTTGCTCATTACGTCAAATAAATTTTAACATTTTTTTTGTATTTGGGTGTGCTTTAAAGGTGACTAATGACAGTCGTCTGCTGCTCGAGTTTTTGCTTTCTGCCCCCTTCAAAACACTGCTAATTTTATGGGAGTGTTTTTCATTTGAGAAGCTGCACGTTTTTTTGGCAGTGATTTGTCAGCGTTTTCACGCTTTGTAATTTGCCACTTCCGATCCGTTTTTGTCTTTTTGTAAGTAACCATGTACTTAAGTATTTTAAATTTCATTTTATTTTAAACTTTCAGCAAAGCAGAAAGAACTTAAGTTGCAGTACATTTTTAGTAGCTAATTAACTTGTGATTTTAATGAACTTAATTAGTTAGATGTTTCGGGGAAAATACGAAACAAGCAAGTAATTGCAGGATAGCTGGGAGTGGCAGAAGTAACGAACAATTAGGATGCGCTCTGTTGCTAATTATTTCGAGCGGCTCTTAGAAATAGGAAGATACTTGTAAAACAAATATAAGGGAGTGCATTTTTTGAATTTTAGGAAAAGTAAAATTAGTATTTGTATTGTATATGCACATTAGAGTGCACCACTAAAAAAAAAAGATGCGGTTTTCCAACGTAATTATAAAATTTATTTTATTTTAAGATTATCGAAGACCCTACCAACAAAACAAAAAAAAAATCGCCAGCAACCCAGGGTACTAAGTGTTTTTTTTTCCAAGGCAATTTCAAAACAAAAAATGCTTCCGAACCTAGGGGTCGCCTTTTTAAATTTTTCGGTGACACCTACATATATACAATCGGCAATCAATATTTCTTTTTTCAGTATTCTAGTGTTATAATTAAAAAAACTATAAGTTGCATAATTATTGGCGAGCTTTAATTTCCTCACATTAGGGTGGTTAAGCGTACTCGAGATCAATGAACTTTAAAATTCATAAAATGGTCTCTCGAAGCCACAACATCATATATCATACTTTAATACTTTTAGATCATACTTTAAAATTCGACTGTAAATGCCGCTGATATGACGAAAAATGTAAAAAGGAATTACCTTTTTCGGATGGCGCAAAAAAAAACGAAATAGCCTTGCAAAAATAGCTTAGGTCCAGGCGTGTGTGGCGAATTTTGTTTTGTAATTTGTAATTTTTTTTCCTGGTTCGGTCTAATGAACATCCGTATTTAATAGTATGTTAGATGGAAACACGTTTGATACAATTTCTGTCTAGTTAGTTGCTCGTAATTATACGCATTATGTGCAAGTAATGAAGGCTAAAATTAGATGGACTAGCTTTTTAGAAAGCATTTCAGTGCTAATTAGAAATATTTTCAATGTGTGCTCTTGGCAGAGGCACGCAGTTTTCGCGTCGCATGAAATACCAAAAGAACACTACATAGATTCTTACAAATGAAAAATACCATGCCAATTTTCAAAGAAATAAAATAACTAAATGGAGCCCTAACCTCCACAAAGACGTAAGCGAAATTTTTTTTTTCAAAATTTTATTTTTGAAGCAGAAATGCATCTATGCTATAGGAACTAAAAGGCATACAAAAATGTCGCTTTCGTATTTTTGGCGGTTACAGTTCGAAATTTTCCTAACAAATTTTGACCCGTGACCGCCAAAACGACGTAAGTGACATTTTTATTTTTTTTAATTATGATGCAGAAATATTCTTAGATAGCATCTAGATGTATTTCCTCATCGAAAATAAACTTTTGAAAATATGTCGCTTACGGCGTTTTGGCGGTTAGGGCTTGATTTATTCATTTCACTTCTCTGCAAATTTACTCGGTTAGGATTCGGTATACTGCTGCTTTCATGAGTTATTAAAACTATGTTATAATTCGGTTGGTAGAGATAAAAAAAAAAATTGTTTACTACGGCATAATAAGTTGCAAGATATTCGAAGTATGTCGTAAACCAAGTAGCCTTCATTAGTTAATTAAGGAGTGTAAGAGAAAATTAGTTAACTATAAGCTTATGAAAGTGATTCATTAATGTATCTTCATTCAATCAGAAATGTATCTATTCCTTAATAATCGCCAATATTTTTCGTTGATGTATACTAATTTTCAGGTCAAATAATCTGTTTTTTGCCTATATTTCAATAGAATAATGCATAATAAACTCATTTAAAATGTAAATTAGAATTTATGTGCTTATTTTTCATTTCATTAAATCTGTGCATAGCCAACGCTTCTTACTCACCATTTTGATTTGTTGTCAGACCGCAAATCGTGTTAATCGAATTTTCTGTAATTCTGTAAATCAAAACACAACAAAATAAAATCCAAATTAGTATGAATTCCATATGTAATTATTCAATTATATATACGACTATTAACGATAATATTAAATGCTTAACAAACACATTCATACAATCAAATAAATGCAATTAACTATTGTTGACGTTAGCAGTTATAAATCATATGAAATTACATTTATACTACACACTGCACACTTGTCAAAACAAATGCAAACGCATTGTTTTATTAATATGTATGTACCCTGCGGAAAAAAAATCAATTGATTAAAATAAAAATCTAGTTCTCACTATTTTTCGGTCCTCGTCCTTTAAAATTAGTTAGTTACGACGAAAGAAAATAGTTAATAAATAGCAGTCGACTGCTAGTTAGTTAATAGTTAGCTACAAACTAGACCCATTTCCTGCAGGGTATCTATGTAGTAGGTAACTAGTTGGGGCGAACAATTTATTTAGAGAGAGACTTGCTTTGGTGTGGTGCTTGTGAAGGAAATCGTAATATTCATATTAGTAATAATTGGTAATAATTAGGGTAATGGTATTGGTAAAGTTAATGGCAGTAGATAGTAGTGATAGTGGTGGTAATGGTAATTGTAATGATACTGGTAATGACATAAGTAATTGTAATACAAATAGTATGGGCGTGGTTAATGCCAACACTAGGAGCAACGAGATTAGTACTGGTAATAGTAAGGTTATTGTAATCGTAATTGTAATGGTTACAGCAATGGTAATGGTAGTTGTTATGACTACAGTAATGGTAACGGTAGTTGTAATGGTTATTGAAACGCTAATGGTGGCAGTAGTATCTAGTTATGGCAATGGTATTGGTAACGATAATGGTAATGGTAATGGTATTGGTCATGGTAATGATATTGGTAATGTCAATGGTAAATGGCAATGGAAATAATACATACATACATATGTATGCACATTAGACCGTACCACCTAACAAGCAAACATTAAAAAGTTCGCCTCGCACCCCTGAGTCAATAGTATTTTGCAAGGCGATTTCAAAAACATTGTTTGCATACCTGTACGTCGTTTTTTACGGTTTAGGGTGACGCCTACATTAGACAATGAAAACTATTGGAATTATCGAAATAACGGGTGATTTTTTTGAGGTTAGGATTTTCATGCATTAGTATTTGACAGATCACGTGGGATTTCAGACATGGTGTCAAAGAGAAAGATGCTCAGTATGCTTTGACATTTCATCATGAATAGACTTACTAACGAGCAACGCTTGCAAATCATTGAATTTTATTACCAAAATCAGTGTTCGGTTCGCTTTACGTCCGATTTATGGTCTACATAATCGACCAAGTGAGCAAACAATTAATGCGATTGTGACCAAGTTTCGCACTCAGTTTACTTTATTGGACATTAAACCAACCACACGAATGCGTACAGTGCGTACAGAAGAGAATATTGCGTCTGTTTCTGAGAGTGTTGCTGAAGACCGTGAAATGTCGATTCGTCGCCGTTCGCAGCAATTGGGTGTGCGAAACACATTTCGAACCGAACACTGATTTTGGTAATAAAATTCAATGATTTGCAAGCGTTGCTCGTTAGTAAGTCTATTCATGATGAAATGTCAAAGCATACTGAGCATCTTTCTCTTTGACACCATGTCTGAAATCCCACGTGATCTGTCAAAGACTAATGCATGAAAATCCTAACCTCAAAAAAATCACCCGTTACTTGCTTGGCAAAAGTTTAATACTTTTTGGTGGTCTTCAATTCACTGGCATTAGGGTGGTACGTTAGGGTGATAAGAACTGAGATATGGTGGGTAAGTACTACAGCGGGGTACTTGAGGTCAATGAACTTTGGTATCAAGAAATTGTCTCCTCGGAACAGAAACTTCGATAAGTCATACAGTAAATGCCGAAGATATGAAGTACGAAAAATGTAAAGAGGCTACATTCGGTAAAAAAAAATCAAAGATTCCGAATTTTCTTTGCAAAAATACTATGGATTCGAAGATGTACAGCGAACATTTTTTCATGTACAGTCTAGCGTATATTAATTTGAAATTTGTAGTCTTCTCTTACCCAATGGTGAATACACCAGAGTTATAATAAAGTCTTTATTATCTGTAGTTTTGAAAGTCAATTAAGTCACGTTAACATATGTCAATCATTTTTTCATGGAATTTTGTGTAAAGTTTTAAATGAAATTAGCATGCCTTGAGTTAATCAAGCTCTTGAACGTTTCCCAACCTAATGGGATCATCAACTTGATTACTTGATTAATACACATCATGTAAAGCTACGTATAAGCGTTCATAACTCGTAATAACGTCAACTATTTGACAGTTATGACAACCAGGTTTATAGTAGGCAAAAGAACGATGATGTTTTTGTGTACACTTATCACGCGGATGTATATGTATGTATATTTTTACTTATTAAAGCTCGGAAACAAAGCGACCTCTTTTAATCTACACTTGACACTTGAAGGTTGCAAATAAAAATATTTTGTTTTGAATTCCTTTAAAATTTGTACGGATGCTTAATTAAGTAGATAACTTGTTTTTTTAATATGTAGTAAAAAGTATCAATGGATATAATACGGTCGTATCTACATATGTACAAAAGTGTACGTTTCTAACATATTTTTTTCACTCATTCATTTGCGATTAAATTTATAAATGTTAATCAGTATTAATTTATCATCAATTTCATTATGTTTATGGTGCAGTATATGTCAACAGCCTACTTTGACCTGGTCTTTTGTGACAAAGCCACAGTATAATTTCCAAAGAATTTTCGTTGTCAAATTAAAAGTTTGCATTTTAATTTGTTTTAAATTAAATTAAATATTTCAAAAGCACAGCTTTTATTATATTCCTTTTTAATTGCTGGAAAATATTGGACTTAATTGAATGAATTCAATGATAAATTGAGTAAAATTTGGTCACAATTTGAGCAGCGACAATAATGAGCGAGATGAGTGACTTTATGATTTCATACTTAGCTCTAAGTTTATTATTAAAAAAAGGAAAAATGTTACCACTTTTATTATCTCGAAGGGATGTTCTGAAGGTTACCCTTATTAATAAGAATACGGAATGCCTGGTCGGGTAGTAGGAGTAATGCCCAAGTTTCTTCTGACTAGAAATTTGCGCAATGCCAACGGGTATAAGTATCGTAAAGAGCTCTTGCCACAATACAGCTAGCAAGTTACTCCAACAAACCTAGTGGAGCTGGAATATCTGGTCGACCGTTTCACCCTGGAGCCTGTAGCAAGGCTATAGACAGTAATAAAGAAATCATAAATTCACGCTAGAACTGCAGGAAAAACTTCAATCAGACAGTAGGCCGAAGCAGCCACATGTAATTGGAGGCCATTCAGTCTGTGGAGATTTCTTCACAAGACAAAGTGTCAGCTGGGCTATAGGGATGTTCAAGTATTTAAATTACCACATCTGGTTGGCATCTCCCCCATACAGCTGCAGCAAACATTACAGCAAAGGTCAGCATGGCTACACGCAATAATGAAGGGAGTAATACATAGCTCATAGTCATATCCCTAAAGATTGAAGGAAACCGAGCGTGGTGTCCATATCCACGGTAGGGAAGCTATCTCACAACAACCCAAAAGATTTCGGGCCCATTACTTCGTTGTATTTTCAACTTAAGAATATGGAGAGACTGGTTGAGGTCCATATCAGAGAGTGGGTTGGTAACGGACTTTCAATATGCTTATACGAAATGGAGATCTACAGAAATGGCGCTACATTAAATAGTGTCACACATAGAAAGATCACTAGCCATCAGAGGCGCCTTTAGTCCTTTAGTCCTTGATGGCATATTATTGGTGGCTGAGACTTAGATATGAACTGCTATAAATTTTAAATTTCTATGACTTCTTGCTCTGCCGTTATGAAATGTTGCTTGCAAATGTTTATAAAGCAATAACAATAAGAATAATTTTCAAGGTTTGATGGTTTCATTTAATTTTCGTTAATAATATAAATTGTATAACCTAAACCATTTTTTCAAAAAAAAAAAAATATGCTTTACTATGGATATTTTTTTTAAATGTTGCAAAACCACTTTTGGCAACATTTCAAAATTTTTGTTGCGCACAATTAGTCACAATGAAAATACGCTGAAAACGAATCGCTTGTATTAATGATTAAAATAACGCATACAGTATATAAAGAGAATGAAACGCACAATCAATTCATATGGTTATAAATTTCTTGTACTTTACACACAAAATAGTACATAACAATATAATATTTGCAATCAATTCCTCTGTTCCAGTTAGTAAATGTTACATAATAAAAACAAGCTAAAAACAGTTATAGGATTCACCCAAAATAAAAACAAAAAATAAAAATAAATCTTAAAAGATTAAAAAAAATAATTTCCCCTAATTTTTTTTTTTTAGTTCTTACCATGCAGATGTGCTCAAAAAGTTAGCGAAAAAAGTTATTAAAAATCAACGCGAACCCTAGGCCACTTGCATACCCAAAAGTTTTCTAAAAACTAAAAAAAAAAACTAAAATTAATTTTGTTGAATTTCAAAATTTCTTATGTTTTTGTTTCGTTTTTTTAAACTATCTTTTAACTGTGCAACATTTATTAACTGGTACATGAAAATCGATTTTCTTCAATATTGCTACTTTTCCTGCACTTTGCTCTAAACAATTTAATATAAGCAATTAAAAATTCAAGAATCGGACTCAACTACTCTTTTCCAAATTTTAAAGGCTTTCATCAAAAAAATTTATCAAATTAGTTGAAAAATTAAAGCTCCAGTGAGTTATAAAATTAAATTCCACTTTTGAACTACTGTGCGATGTGACTAAAATACTACATTTTTTTGGTCTAAAAACGCTCGTATTTATTGCAATTAAAAAGTTTTCATTTCTACGAAACTTAAAATAAATACATACATAAATATACTATGTACATAGAAGCATTCTTTTATGTTCAATGCACCAGCAAATGCATGCGGACGAAATGGAAAAGGGAACAGCTA